TCTTGTGTTATACGGGACCATCAATCGAAAAGGATGATTAGTACGAGTTGAGTAGAAATAAGGCTTGTATCGGTTGATAACTCCACTCAACTTAAATGCTCATCATACTTCGTTTCAAATACCATTGTTCATGATTCTTTTGATGTATGGCATTATAGACTAGGTCACCCTTCAAATTTCAGATTACTTGCTTTACATTCTCTCCGTAAAGATGTACTTGCCGACATCTCTAATCCACAATGTGATATTTGCCATTATGCAAAGCAAAAACATCCTTCCTTTCCCATTAGTTCCTCTTTTTCTACAAAGTGTTTTGAACTTGTCCATGCGGATATTTGGGGTCTTATGGCAACTCCTTCTTTGTCCGGCTATCAATACTTTCTTACTATTGTTGATGATTATAGTCGAGCTACTTGGGTTTTTTTTTATGAAACATAAATCCGACACAAGAAAGCTCATTGAGAATTATTGTACTCTTGTTAAAACTTAGTTTTCTACCAAGATTCGACCTTTAGAACATATAATTGCCAAGAATTCAATATGCCCTCTTTCTCGCTTTGAAAGGCATTCTCCATCAAACCTCATGTGTCAAAACACCCCAACAAAACAGTATTGTTAAGAGAAAACATCGACACATACCGACGATTGCTAGGGCTCTTAGGTTTCAAGCCAATCTTTCGCTTGTTTTTTGGGAAGATTGCATTCTTCATGCCGTTCACTTAATCAATAAAATTCCTACACCTATATTGAATGATAAAACACATTTTGAAATTTTGTTTGGAAAAATTCCCACTTATAACAACCTTAAGGGCTTCGATTGTCTCTCGTTTTGCATCTAACCTTACCCCGAAGGCTAAGTTTGATTCAAGAGCTTCCAAATGCATTTTCTTAGGTTTTCCCACTCGGTACAAAAGGCTATAAACTTTATAATCTACATAATGGCAGTATTACGGTTGTCTAGAGATGTCATTTTCTATGAGCACATCTTTCCTTTTGCTTGTTTGTCCGAACATTCTACATCCTCTCCTAATTTTGTGCTTCCAAACATTCTTCCGGAGACTTGCACGTACACTCCCTCTACATTTCCTTTGATAGACATTGCCATACCCTCAACCGATTCACCCAACTCACCTATTTCTATCCCTTCTTCCAATAATGCTTATTCAGAATCATTTCTCGCTCCTTCCGGAGATTCACACGATCCAAAACTCCTCCTACATATCTTCAAGATTATCATTGTGCATTACACAATCAACCGACTCAAGCTTTGCCTTCTATCGGTTATGCTTTTTTTCCTCCCATAGGTTTTACTTCTCACTTTTTATCTTCGGTGTTATCCTATTTTAAATGTTCATTACCTCATAAACTCTTTAGTGTTAGTATCTTTACTCGCCATAGAACCTAGTACTTATCATCAAGCAGTTAAGTTTGATTGCTAGAAAACAGCTATGAAATGAAGAAATTAAGGCTCGCAAGACAATCATACTTGGGAACTCACCGATCTACTCGCTGGAAAGTAAAGTATAGGGTGTAAATGGGTGTTTAAGATCAAGTATAAGGCTGATGGGTCCCTAGAAAGGTACGAAGCCCGTCCGATTGCTAAGGGATACACATAACAAGCAAGTGTGGATTACCTAGATACTTTTTCTCCAAGTAGCCAAGATGACTACAATAAGAACTTTGTTAGTAAGTCTGCAGCTATTAACAATTAGTACTTGCACCAATTGGACATTAATAATGCATTTCTTCATGGAGACTTAGAAGAAGAAGTGTATATGGATTTGCCTTTAGGATTTCAAAGTCCAAAACCAAACCAAGTCCGTAGGTTGTTAAATTCTATCTATGGCCTTAAGCGAGCCAATAGGCAATGGTATACGAAGTTATCTACTCGCTCTCCTTGCTCAACATTTTGTTCGGGGTGCTTCGATCCCTCTCTCTTTATCAAATCCACATATTCTTCCTTCATTGCTTTACTCATCTATGTTGATGATGTTATTTTAGCCAACAATGATATGGAAGAAATAAGAGCAATAAAGGCCTTTTTATATGAGACATTTAAAATCAAGGATTTGGGTGAGTTGAAGTTCTTCTTAGGCGTTGAGGTTGCACGATCATCTCATGGGATCGGTTTATGTCAAAGGAAATATGCCCTCGAATTATTACAAGATGCGGGTTTTATTGGTGCCAAACCTACAAAATGACCTATGTTAGCTACTCGTCAAGTTAAGTGTCGAAGATAACACTCTTCTTCCTAATACTTCTACCTAGAGAAAGTTGGTTGGTCGCTTAATCTATGTCACAAACACTAGACCCGACCTCTCCTATGCAGTCCAATAATTAAGTCGGTTTCTAGACGGACCAACCCAAGCTCATCTTACAACGAGCACATAGGGTACTTCGATACATCAAAGGTGCTCCCGGCCAAGGTCTATTTTTTGCTTCAAACAATCGACTTCAACTTAAGGGCTTCTCCGACTCGATTGGGCGACTCGTGGACGATAGGCGTTCTATCACCTGGTTTTTACGTGTTTCTAGGTTCATCGCTCATCTCTTAAAAATCAAAAAAGCAATTGACTATTTCAAGGTCTTCCTCCGAGGTAGAATATAGGGCATTTGCAGCGGTTACTTATGAAATGCAATAGGCGATATACTTGCTAAAAGACCTTCATGTTCCTCACACTCACCCAACATTGATTTTCCGTGACAACCACTCTGCAATTCATATTGCCAAAAACCATGTTTTCAATGAAAAAACAAAGCACATAGAAATAGATCGCCACATTGTGAGGGAGAAGCTTCGCAAGGGATCGTCCATCTTTTTCCTATAGGATCGCCTAATCAACCGGCTGATTGTTTCACTAAGCCGTTGGCACTCGCAGACTTCACTTTACAAATCTCCAAGTCGGGCATTTTAGATCTTTATGCACCAGCTCCAACTTGCGAGGGGTATCAAAGCATAGTTAGTTGATATTGTTATAAGTATCCCGAGTGTGTTTTCCATGTGTGTTAGTTTATTTTTAAATTATCAAGGTTAGTTAGGGAATTTCACCAAGATTAGTTAGTCAATTTTTGAATGTTTGTTGTTACCATTATATAAAGATGAAATGCAGCGAGTAGAGTGAGCGAAAAAAAATGTCACTCGCTCCTCTCCCAAATTTCGTTTTGCCTCAAAACTCGGCATGTTGTATGCCGCCTTTTTCTCTTCCAACGAGTGAATGTTGAGATCGATAAGGCGGGCATAAGTAAGGGTGTTTGGGTGGCTTTTATACTAGGTGCTATTGCTCGTGTTGTTGTAATATTTTCAGCGATCACGACTTTGTTTGCTTGTAAGACATGCCGGATACCGTCGGTCTTCTAAGAAAAGATTTATGTAAGTTTGTCAATGTGACTAATAAGTATTAGCTTCTATTAGTACTACCATATTTAGTTGTACCATATTTGCCAATGTGACTATTTTGTTCATTTGCGGCCTTAACGATGCGGATGAAAATTGATGGTATGCAAAGATTCACTTTCAAAGAAATGGTCTTGGCTACCGACAATTTTAACGGATCAACACAAGTTCAAGGCCTCGAGGGGTTATGGAAAGGTTTACGAGAGGCATTTTACTTGACAAAACAATGGTGGCTATAAAGCGTGCTAAAGAAGGATCCTTACAAGGTGAAAAGGAATTTTTGATGGAGATCAATTTGTTGTCGAGGTTACATCATCGAAATCTAGTTTCCTTGGTTGGATATTGTGTCGAAGGAGAGCGAGTAATACTTTTTTTCGGAAATAAAGGAGACGGAAGCAGAAGAGAGGTGAGGAAAGTATGGGAATAATTCTTATTGTCCTTTTTCCATTCATTCCTCTTCTTTTATAATTAGTTTACGTACAACTATAACGGAATATAGAATATCACTTTTACGAACTTGCATATTCTTAGCTCATATAACGGAATCACATATTTATTTGTGACAAGTGTAATCGGTGTATTTTCGTCGGCATTTTCCTTGCACGAGCTCCTCTTCGGTTGCTATTGTTTTGTGGGCTTGGTCGGGTTTGATCCGGGCTGATTGCAAGCAATCTGCAGTAGCTCGGCTCGCAACATTGTCCTCCCTTCAAAAGAAACCTTATCCTCAAGGTTAAAGGTTGGATAATCTCGACGAAGTTCATGGATGGGTTCCCAAGTAGCATCGGAAGGTGATTGATGTTCCCATTGAATCAAAACCCGAGGACACGAGTGACCTTATCGGATGATTTTTCCGAATCCCAATACTAATGCCTGGTTGCAAAACGAGATGGTGATCCATAAAATGTTGGGGTAATGGAACTTGCTTGAACCAACGGGTTGCCAACGTATTTTTTTAGGTTCGAGACATGAAACACATTATGTATGTATGTAGATGGAGGGAGATCCAACCTATAAGCTACCGAACCCACACGTCCAATGATCTTGAAGGGACCAAAGAAGCGTTTGGAGAGTTTGTTGGATTGCCTATAAGCTAGGGAGGATTGTCGATACGGCTGTAGTTTTAAGAAGACCCAATCGTCTACCGCAAAGGATACGTCGATACGCCCGTAATTTGTTTGATTACGCATCCCGGTTTGAGCTCGAAGTAGATTATCTCGTAGAGTGGCTAACATAATCGAGCGCGACCGGAGCATCTCATCAATAGCAACAACGAAGAAGTGTCACCCACATAATCCAACAGATGATGGCGGTGATCGACCAAAAACGACCTCAAATGGAGTCATTTTAATAGCCGAATGCCGGGACGTGTTATAGTGCCACTCCGCCCAAGGAAGGAATTGTAACCACTCGCTTGGGATTGTCCGAAGCAAAGCGGCGTAGGTAGTCCTCGAGACATCGATTCAAGACTTTAGTTTAACCATACGTCCGGGGTTGATAAGCGCTGCCGGTGGCGAGAGTGGTGCCTTGAAGCTCGAATGACTCACGCCAAAAATGGCTCATAAATATGGGATCACGGTTCGAAATGATGCTGGATGGAAACCCATGAATGCGAACGATTTCGCGAATAAAGATTTCAGCGGCTCGAGGAGCGGAGAATTGGGGTCCAAGTGCTCGAGAAGTGAGCATGCTTGGATAGTCCGTCCACCACTACCATGATCGTTGTTTTACCAACAAAAGGGGTAGGTGAGTTACAAAATCCATGGAAATGGATTCCTATATCTTTCCGGGAATGGGCGAGAGGTTGGAGGAGCCCTCGGGGGCTTTGTTAAAGGGTTTGATGGTCCGACATACAACACATTTTGCTACAAAGTCACGTACGGATTGTCGAAGCTTAGGCCGATAGAAAATGCTTGCAATTCGGCTAAGGTGCGCTGCATGCCAGCATGTCCTCCGACGGGGAATTGTGAAACTCCATCAAGATTAATGGTTGGAATGCAGAATCGGCAGGTATGAATATTCTTCCCTTATACCATACGAAGCCATCCTTCACTATGTGCTATGGAAACTCAATAGGTGAGTTCCGAATGGAAGCAATTAGTTAAGCCGAAGTGGTATTAGTCTTGTAAAACTCCCACGAGTGCATCCCACGATGCTATGAGAGGTTTGGAGGCCGTTTGGAGAGTAAGGAAGGAACCCCGTGCAACACGGGATAATGCATCCGCTCGGTTTATTCTCCACTCCGGGTTTGTAAACAATATCGAAATCATATCCGAGCGAGCTTGGTTAGCCACTTCGCTGCTCGGGGCTTTGGATGACTTGATTGTGGAGGGCCCTAAGACTTTGGTGGTCCGTCCGAATAGTAAACCGACGCCCAAGATGGTATTGGCGCCACTTTCTAATTGACTCAATTATGGCCAACATCTCTCAAGCATAGGTGGAGGCGAGCTTGAAGACGTGGAGATAGTCCTTTACTAAAGTAAGCTATGGGATGTCCTTGTTGCGATAGCACTCGCCCCAATACTCGTGCCGGATGCATCCGTTTGTAACACAAATGGCTCGAAAAATTTGGAAGGGCCGAATAGGGGTGCTTGACAAGGCTTGTTTCAACTCTAAGAATGCCTTGGTAGCTGTAGGAGACCATACAAATGCATTCTTGCATAAGAAGCTGGGTCAAAGGTGTCTGCAACGGAGGAATACCTCGCAACAAATCGACGATAGTAACTCGTTAAGCCAAGAAACCCCCGTAAACTCTTAACGGAATCGGGTAATGGCCATTCGTTGGATGGCAACTACCTTTCGGGATCTACTGCTACCCCTTTAGCTGAAATCTTATGCCTAACATAACCCAAGTTTGAACAACCGAACTCACATTTAGATAGCTTAGCGGACAGAGAATGGGATTGTAAGGTGAAGAATATCGTCTCCGAGTGCTCTAAATGTTGCTCCTAAGAGAAGTCGTATACCAAGATATCGTCGAAGAAGACGAGGACAAATTTACGTAGCATGTTCTCGAAGATAGAATTCATCAAAGCTTGAAAAGTCGAGGGAGCGTTAGAGAGGCCAAATGGCATCACCAAGAACTCGTAGTGACCCTTATGGGTGCGAAACGTCGTCTTTTCAATGTCCGGTGGGTGGATCCCGACTTGATGATAACTCGCACAAAGATCAAGTTTAGAGAAAACACAAGCTCCATGAAGCTCATCCAAGATTTCATCCACTGTGGGAATTGGAAAGTGATCTTTGATTGTGACTATGTTCAAGGCTCGGTAGTCGACGCAAAAGCGCCACGGACCATCCTTCTTCTTCACTAAAAGCACCGGTGAGGAGAAAGGACTAGTGCTAGGGCGAATCACTCCATCCGAAAGCATTTCTCCTACCGGTTTCTCTATTTTAGATTTTTGAAAATGTGGGTATCGGTATGGGCGGACATTTACCGGTGGTGTGTGTTTGGTAACGGGGGTATGTGATGGTCAAGTGGTCTTGGAGGGGGTACTCCCATGGGAGTAGCGAAGATGCTCCCAAACTTAGAGAATAGGGTCCGTAAGGAGACGAGAAAGGTGGAAGGTGCATCAGCTCTCGTAATAGGTTGTGTTGAGGTTTGGACCGATCTGTATGGAGAGATGGTAGTATTGGGTTACCGATTGAGTTTGTGAGAAACGTTTGAGGGGTTGTAGGGTTATGTGGGCCGAGGAGGGTTGTTGCAAGCCAATGAGATGGATAGTTGACCCTTGGTGTTGGAATTCCATCCACGAGTGCCTTATAATCAAACAATATAGGTCCTAATTCGGATAACCACCGCACACCCAAAACCAAGTCCGCACCGTATATTGGGAGGAGAAGTAGGTCTACCGAGAACTTTGTATGACCCGGTTGGAGGAGGGTTTGGAGGCAAGTCCCCCCACGGCCTAGAGAATCTCCATTTCCCACTCGTCACTTTAAGGTGGGAGGAGGGCGGATGGGCGAGCCCAAATGAGAAGCTAGCCTTGATTGAATAAAATTATTGGTGGAGCCCCCATCTATTAGAACCGTGACTCGGGTGCCCATTTATCGAGCCTCGCCGGCTTCAATGTGGAAGGAATCATTTTCCCGGTGAGAGCATGGAAGGAGATCCGAGGTATTTCCCCGGCTTGGTCATCCTATTCAGCTGGGTTGCGCAACGTCGGAGGGTGTTTCACCATCGGCCCAATCTTCATCGGGAGGCTCTTCCCCACACTCGGCCATGAGGCGGAGGAACCGAGGGGTCCGCATCGGTGTCCCGGTGTAAGCTTCTCATCGCAGTTGAAGCAGAGGCCCTTTTCCCTCCAAGCGGCCATCTCGGGTGGAGTGAGTCGTTTAATGGGAAAGGAAGCTGGTTTTGTTGGTGAGTGGGTCCGGATGGTTTGGAAATTTCGTAGTGGGTTTTGGGTTTAGTGGTAGAGATGGGTTGCGAGAGAATGGTAGGAAGTGGGGCTGTGTTTTGGGTAAGGTTACTCGGTTATGGGTCGCCTTGACGGCGTTGCACTTGTCTTCCACAATTCTAGCCATTCCCATGGCTTCGTGGAGGGATCGTGGTTTGAGGAGGCATAGCTCCAATTGTAAATCATCACGTAGGCCCGAGATAAAGCAATTAAGCAAGTTGGTGTGGCTAAGTCCAGGTGATGCGAGAGGAAATGGTCTCAAATTCGGATAAGTATTCCGCAACTCGTGGTGACTTGCTTAAGCTTGTAAAGTTGTGCTTCATGGTTAATAAACTTGGATGGACCAAACTCGATTTCTAATTGCTCGAGTGAATTCTTCCCGTGTGGTAAGTCGTGATGTCGAATGCATCCACTGGAACCATTGTAAAGCCGTGCTTGTCATGTAAAATGCAGCGATGGTCAATTTTTGTTACGGTGGTGTATTGTGGAAGGTAAAAAAATGCTCAATCCGAAATAGCCATCCATGAACGTTTGTGCCCGTAAACAATGGGATCTCTAGTTTAGGTAGTCGTAGGGTGAATGGTTGGAATGGCTCGGTTATTGGGATTGTGATGTTATGGTCGTTGGATGGGTTACCGAGTCGAGTGGAGAGAGGAAGAATGCATTTGTTGTTGCAATCGAGGTGGGGTGTTGGGGTGTTTGGATTAGGTAACAGGGGAGGCTGGAGAGGTTGTTTCTCCCATTTGGCAATCTTGAGCATCATGTCGACCATGACCGTTTGTTGGGTGGAGATGGAGTTTTGTAGCTTCTCATATGTCTCAAGGTGTTGTTGTTGCGGTCTCTCAAAAGTTGCTGAATGTTGTTGGCCAATAGTATCAAGTCTAGAAATCATGGATGATTGGTTATTGAGCTGATCCGATAGTTTAGAAATTTGGTCTTCGAGTGCCTTCAAGCGAGTTATCATCCCCTTTGTCATGGTTCAAGACTCTCAACGAGAGCACCAAAATGTTGGTGATATTTTATTTGGATTTAAGGGAGCAGAGCTTACGATAGAAAGAAGGGAAACCAAAAGGGGAAGGGAAATAAAGGAGACGAAAGCGAAGAGAGGTGAAGAAAGTATGGGAATAATTCTTGTTGTCCTTTTTCCATTCATTCCTCTTCTTTTATAATTAGTTTCGTACAACTATAACGTAATCACGTAATATCACTTTTACAGCTTGCATATTCTTAGCTCATATAACAGAATCACATATTTATTTGTGACAAGTGTAATCGAGTGTATTTTGCTGGCATTTTCCTTGCACGAGCTCCTCTTCGGTTGCTATTGTTTTGTGAGCTTGGCTGGGTTTGATCCGGGCTGATTGCAGCAACCGCAAGTAGCTCGGCTCGCAACAACTTTCTACTATCTTTTTTGTTTTTGAAAGTCAAATGAGAAGGGAATGTATGGAAGTGTCCCTGGCATGTATCCATCTAATTATTTTATGAGCAATACTACTGCTCATTTAGAATGTGAATTATGCTTAGGAGTAAATTGCATTTATTTGTTTCAAATTTCTAAGAGGTTTTTTTCCTAACCAAGTTTTTCTTTCTACTTATTGCACATTAATCAAGTTTTGTTCTACCATCTTATAAAATGTTTTGTAAATCCTTTTTTCTAACAAATTAAATGGATTTGATATGATTTAGCATCTATATTTGCAAAGTGTGACTTGGTTACTTGTGAAATCTGCAAACTTGTGTTCTTTGTTGACGCACAGATGCTAGTGTACGAGTTCATTCGGAATGGTACCTTGCAGGATTGGCTTTCTGGTATGAAAATCACCTAAATTTTACGTTCTTTATCTACTCTATATCTCCGTGATACTCTCCTAGAGAGCTTATATTAATTTTACAAGTCTTTAGATCGTAGAATCATATGCCATAAAATGCTGGAATGTGTGGTAGGTTCAAAGTTCAGCAGAAGGTGTGGTTTACCTGTTACTGAGGGCTAATATTGGAAGGAGATTTCGTTACACAAATTACTATGAGATCTAGACCATTCTCTCCTGTATTTACAAACACTAGACATTTTTTAATTTTCCCAATTACTATTTGTTTATTACTGTTTGATTTAGAACATTTAACTTTCAATATATTGGAGTCTCAAAATTGATGGCTGCTGCTGTATGCTGCTACAGCGAAGGAAAATCTCAACTTTGGAACAAGGTTAAGCATTGCTTTGGGTGCAGCAAAGGGCATTCTTTACCTCCATACTGAAGCGGACCCTCCAGTATTTCACCGAGATATCAAGGCTAGCAATATTCTTTTACACTCTAAGCTTACTGCTAAAGTTGCTGACTTTGGACTCTCCCTTCTTGCCCCTGTCATGGATGATGAAGGATATCTACCTAATCATGTATCTTCAGTAGTGAAGGGAACTCCAGTGAGTTTCACTCCATTACGTGCTCATAAATTGATTATGTGCAAAAGTTTTTTAAAATGATTTCAAAAGGTTAACTTGTCTACATGGCCAAAGAATTTAAACTTAAACAGTGAAGATGGAATCAAATATTTCTAATTTGGATTCTCTTCCAGGAGAGATTACTAGTAACTCTTCTTGTTTTGTATTGAATATGCAGGGATACCATGATCTAGAATATTTTTTGACACACAAGTTGACAGACAAGAGTGATGTCTATAGCCTTGGAGTTGTATTACTAGAGCTATCGACAGGAATGCAGCCAATATCACGCGGCAGAGACATATATAGTTCGTGGGGTATATACGATACGCATTGTTCTTTCCGAAGCTTTGAGTTTTCTTCTACTTACACTACATTCAAATATTGATCTAGTAACTTCTTATTTAACACTAAAGGATAGAAAAAAATTTGATGTCAGGTAAATATTGCTTGTGAGTCTGGCATGATGTTCTCTATCATAGACAGCAGAATGGGTTCCTATCCATCTGAATGCATCGAGAGATTTGTAGCCTTGGCACTAAGGTGTTGCCATACCAAGCAAGAGAAACGGCCATCAATGCTGGAAGTGGTTAGGAAACTAGAAAACATACTCAGAATCTTGCCAGAAACGGATACTACTGATATAGAATCTGCTTCCACATATTCCGAGAAGACCGCACCTGTATTTTCTGGCATGTTAGCATCTTCATCCTCATTCTACGCAAGCAGGGATGCATCCAAGTCGTCCACTTTTTTGGGAAGCAATCTTAGCAGTGGCGTCATCCCCTCTTACCGCCTCGTTGATATCAAAACTAAAAAACTCTGTGTGCTTATTAATCTCCCCCACCCCACCCCCACAAATTGTGCAGTTTAGTGAGATGTGTAAAGTGGGTTTGATTCCTAAATGCCGT